AGATAAGAAAATATATTTTTATATACATAAGAGAATGACTAACCTAACAAATTTACTCTTAACTGAACCAACAGAAAAATAATAGTCTAATATCATCTAATTAATACTTGGCTAATCACAAACTAATACTTAAATATACAATATACAAAGTGGAGAACATTGATCTAAACATAATTCTTGATAAAGTCAGTAGTCAGTATAGGGTAATAAAAGCTATTTAATATTCAAAAGTCAACCATTTACATGTATCTCTTACTTTCCTTTTATAGGCGAGATATTGGGCTAATGGGCTTCGTGAATCAACCCTGTTTTTAGTCCTTTGATTATTTAAGTAATTAATTTTTTTATTAAATGATTATTTGTTTTAGCATTTAATCATATTATTGACTTATTACGACTGGAGGGACATCCATTGTTTATGTTAGGCCGGAGAGGTATTCAGATTCCTTTTTCTGATGTAACAACTGAGTAGTACCTTATTCAATACACTTGCCGCTCAAGCCCAAGGAGGTATGACGTAAGGGCTTTAGATCTATAGGCAATTTGGTATAGGCCGGAAAGGTATAAACAGTGAAACAATAGGGTACTTGGTTTAAAATCTGTTGATGTCAGGCCGAAGAGGTACTCAAGTTCCTATATATGTGAGAAAGACCAAATCATCCATCATAATCTTGCTTCCCAAGCCTAATAGAACGATGTGTTGGCATTTTAAGGTTTCAGCAGATTAAGGTTTCAGTATATTAGAGTTATCTCGTAGTTCGTGCTTTGAAACGAAAGGTTGCTCATTCATATCCGTTAATTTGGAAGAGATCTGATGGTTGAAAAAGAGGGTGACCCTTCATCTACCCAAAGTCATATGTTCTATAAATAGGCAGTGGTCCAGACATTATGTACGCTTTCTGCTCTGCACTGAGGGGTATACTTTGCTAAATTGTTGAAGTTTTCTCTCTTTTAGATTCTAAGGTACATTTGTTTCACTTTGACTTTCTCTTATCTTCTCTTCTCTCTTTTACATTTTACATTTGTTAACTGAAATAATATTTCAGATGTGACACATTCCAGGTTCTCAATATAACTTTCCCCTCGAGTGTTTCAAGCTTATAGGATCTATTATTTAGGCAAGTTGTTACCCAAAAGGATCCATTCCAGTTGGCGGCGAGTTTCCTTCTCGTTGGTCACGTTGTGCTTCACCCGTTGCCCTCCACACTAAATCTCTAACTTGGAACTATCTCTGCTTGAGTTTAGAGTTATACTTTCGTGACATCATCCTTCTACTTGCTTCCATCATCATAACGGCCTGGTCTCGGACTTCGTCTATAACATTTAAATTATTGGTTAGGGAAAGAGAAATCTCTTCTTCTTCGAAGTGTTGTTGTCAGAATGAAGGTTCACCAATCTCCATCGAAATCATGGCTTTGGTTCCATAGGTTAGCCGAAAAGGTTTTTTTTTTTTTGTAGTGGTTTGGGGAGTGCACGGATATGCCCAAATAATTTCAGGTAGTTTCTTGGCCTACTTTCCTTTAGCTGAGCTTAGGCATCTTTTTAGTTCGTGAAAGATAAGCTTGTTTGCTGCTTCAGCTTAGCCATTACTCTGGGGGTGCTCGACAGAAGTGACCTCGTGTTTTATTTTAAGCCATTCTAGAAACTCGTTAAAACGTCGATCCATAAAATAAAGGCCGTTATCAGTGATTAAGGCATTTAGTATGCTGAATTGTGTGATGATGTTCTTCCAGGTGAACTTTTGAACATTATTGGCTGTGATGGTCACAAGAAGTTCTTTGGTAAAATAGTCAACAACAATGAGAAGGTACTTGCATTGTCCCTTAGTCAAGGTAAAAAGGCCTAGTAGGTCCATCCCCCATATGGTGAAAGGCCAAAAGGAGTAAACGGGATGAAGGTTTTCGACATTTTCATGGATTAGTGGTCCATGTTGTTGACACGATATACATCTCTTAACAAAAACCTCACAATCCTTTGTCAGCTTCGGCCCGTAATAACTGGCTCTTAGCACCTTTACTGCCATTGTTCGTCTTCCCGAGTGAGATCCACAAATGCCTTCATGAATTTTCCAAATGACATAACTAACCTATTCTTCATTGAGACACTTTAAAAGCGGGGTGAAAATTCCTCTTTGTATAATTTGCCACCAACGACTGTACATTTTGTTGCTGGTATTCTAAGGTGTTTGGCTTGGTCTGGATCGTCAGGAATTTTATTGTCTTCAAGATATTGAATGATATCTGACATCCAATTCCAAGGGGCGTCTTTAATTTCCATGCATTCTTGTTAAAAAATGCTTGGCCTGCTGATTTCTTGCTGGATCATACTTTGGAGCTGTCTTGGCTTCTGATGACTAGCCAACTTGGCTAGCTTGTCGGCTTGTTCATTTTGATCTCGCGAGATGTGGTGGACATATATCTCATCAAATTCATGGTGTAGCTTGTTAAATTCTTGATAATATTTCATCATGGTAGGGTCTTTGATTTGGTAAGTGCTGTTAACTTGCTCGACAACTACTTGTGAATCACTCCAACATGTAATTCTTCTGACTCCGATTTCCTTTGCTAATCTGAGTCCAGCGATTAAGGCTTTGTATTCGGTTTGATTATTGAAAGCCCTAAAATCGAATCGTATTAGTTGTTCTAACGTCACCTAGTTTGGTCCTTCTAAGATGACCTCTGCTCCACTGCCACTAAGATTTGATGATTCGTCCACATGTAAATTTCACATGTCGATGGTCGACATTTTTTTATGATGAAATTCATTTAGGAATTCTATAAGGATTTGGGCTTTAAGAGGTTCTCGTGCTTCAAAACGAATATCGTAGTAGTACCTTTGCGATCGAGTAGTCAGCGCATACCACGATTCAGTGACATTGGAAATAGTGTCTTAATCGTTAGGCGATATGAATCAATGTCAAGATTGCTTTTTCCATTAATTGGTACCAAGTTTTAGCATCATGCAGTGTTCGGCTGATGAAATATACCAGCATCATGAGTTCTTATGTCTCTTGTAGGAGGACCGAGCTAATGGCATTGTTTGCCACTGCAAGATAGACGATCATATCGAAATTGGGCTTAGGCTTGGTTAGGATAAACGGTGTTGCTAAGATGATTTTAAATTGGCCGAAAGCAATTTCACACTCTTCGGTCCATTTAAATTTTTGTGCCTTCCTAAGAAGTTTTGCAAATGGTCATGACTTTTTCGCTACTTTTGGAAGAAACTGAGATAGTGCGGCTATCCGGCCAGTTAACCGTTGTACTTCTTTGACAGTATTAGGCTTACGCATATCGAGAATTGCCTGACACTTAGCCGGGTTCGACCAGAGTGGCAAACGAGTCATTTTTGCCTTCAACTACCTTACAACTGAGGAGAGGTCCTCGTCTTCTCCCGTTTCAAGGAAAATTTCTAGTACGGGCGAATTCTGTACATGTTCTTCCTATTGACGCGGTATTTCCCATGGTTGGCTGGGGCCTTCTTGTTGACTCCTAGCTAGTATCATATCTTCTTGAAATTGGGACAAATCAGGCTCCACGATGGGTGCCAAAATATTCCTATTAAGGATACAATAGTCTTCTGTGATCTCTCCGCTTGTCTTCTAATGTGACGTCCTTGCAGAATATTCTGAGTTCCTTTGTATTGTGATGTAGGGGTTACCTGTAAAGACACCCCAATGATGAAGTTAATAGTCGGTATAGGGTAATAAAGACTATTTAATATTCAGAAGTTAACTTTTGACCTATATTTCTTACTTTCCTTTTATAGACAAGGTATTGGCTAATGGGCTTCGTGAATCAGTCCTGTCTTTAGCCCTCTAATTATTTAGGTAATTAATCTTTTTATTTAATGATGATTTGTTTTAACCTTTAATCATATTATTGACTTATTATGACTGGAAAGATATTTGTTATTTATATTAAGTCAAAGAGATATTTGAATTTTTTTTTTGATATAACAACCAAGTAGTACCTTATTCAATACAATAATTATTTATCATTTATTTAGAGAATTAAATACTTTTGCTGATGCTATGGCAAAGCAAGATTGTGTTAGAACTATTCAGGATTTATAGGCTTACTGGTTGAGATATTTTTAATCTCATTTCAGAAGATTATTCTCATGTTCAGTTGATATTACTAATATATGACTTTTTTTTTAAATAAAATGGTTGCGTTCACTTGAGAAAAAAGTTGAAACTTTATCAGTGGAATAAAAAATTATTTATTCTAGGGTTTCTCATTATAGAAATTAACCCTGCGAGCTATATATAAGTCGTAAATGAATACCTGGGGTAAAAGAATATACAAATTACTTTAAGAATATAAATGTGGACAGGGCTATTTGCTTAAATTACAATTAATAATTGCTAATAAATTAACAAACACGAGTTCTTCTTCGTATATATTACTTTAATTCAATATGCCATACGAGACCTTCCACTAATTCGATCTTCTCACACACACCAAAAAGGGGGAAAAAATCACTTTTAATTACTTATATTCATAAACAAATGCAGCGGTACCACTAAGTAACCACGGGCATAAGAATAGTGCAGCTGCCAGCATCTTTTGCCATTTCATTATTCCACCTAACGATAAATTATTAGTTATGCAAGGTTTATTTATATTATTTCTCGCCCACAAACAATTTTTGTGAAAATATTTTTAATAATATATATATATATGTTATTAAAAATATTAATTTCCCCTAGCTTGCATACAAACACACATGTACAAAATAAGAATTTCACTTTTAATTACACCGTGTCTAACAAAAATGGCTCTCCACTCACGTGTGTTTTTTCCTTTATAAATGCAACTTCTTAGTCCAAAAACTGAGTACACTTATATTCTTCAGGGAGAAAGAATCTGCAAGGGTATTGCAAAGAGAAGCTAAACTGAAGCTCACATAGAACACAGATCCCTTTAAACTTCTTGGGCGCGTGTGTGTGTGTGTGTGATAGAGAGAGAGAGAGAGGAGAAAAGAAGCAGAAAGTTAACATGGAATGGAAGAAATATTATCTGGATGTGATGCTGGTACCGTTAGGATTTATGATAACAATTGGTTATCATGTTTGGTTATGGCATAAGGTTCGCACGCAGCCTTCTTCCACCATAATCGGAATCAATACTCATGGAAGACGCTCCTGGGTCCCTGCCATGTTGAAGGTATTCTCTTGTGTAAATTATTTTCATTGTTTCCTTTCTCACTAACTAATTTTTTTTGGTGAAGGAATTAATACGGTGGAGTTAATCTGTATTCCTAATTATAAAACTACAACATATATCAATCTTTTCCTTTTCATGTTCATATGAGTTATATATACCAATATCAATATCTCTCTGAATTAATATTTAAGTGTTTGTAACAGCTAATAGTTAGGCACTGTCTACTTTTAAACTACTCAATGTTGTTTAACACTTTGGTGAAGAGTTACTTTGTTTTCTAATATAGCTGGAACAGAGACTGAAAAATATAATTTATCTTATGGCAAGACTCAGACGAGTAGTGAACCAATTATATATCCTAAGATGTTAGATGAAGTAATCTCTTTCATGTACAGACCTATATAGCTACCTCGTGTTAACCTAAATTTATTTTTTTACCAAAGAATCGGAGTAGAATGAATAGAACTGTCTAGGTCACTTGATCATAGAGCTTGTCATGCATGTATCCATAATACCAAAAATTGGAAGTTATTAAAGTGAACACATATGAGTAAACAAATTTTATAATAATACATCTTTAACAGTGTGCATACATATAGTACATGCATTTGATGGATTGATAAGGACGTGTATTGATATGACCAAGCGTTTTTTGTTCAGGATCTACCTCTATATCTTACATGTTTTAGCCACAAATTTTGATGCCATATGTTGGCTTGGTCACAACCGCAGTCTTCATTAGTTATGTCACTAACTAAATAAGTTGTTGTAAAAAATAAATAAATACATACTTGACATATTACACAAACGTGGCCTAGGAATAATTTGTTCTGTAAGTGACTGTTTGGATGATGTTTTTAAAATAACTCTTCAAATGTGTGTACGTTATCTTTGGCTATTTTTTGTAAGTTAAAATTTTAAGCTTGTAAATAAGGGTTCACCAAGATATTTCATCTTTATATTCGCTTCCGGACCTTTCTTCTATTTGTATTTTTTTTTAATTATATTAAGCGTTGTGGTATTTTCTGATTTTATTTGCATCTATATTAAATTTTTTATTTTTTTATTTTTTTATTCATCATTGAAATTTTATTTTTTTGATTAAATACTTCTTAGAATGTTTATAAAACGTCACTCAACCTATTTTACTTTACAATTATAATTAAGTTATACTTGAATAATTTTTTCTTAAGGGTTGTATTTTAAATATTTTGGGATAAAAGAACTTATTTGATTTATTAAATTTTGAATCACTTCATCTCTGATGAATTATCTTTTGTAACTTTAAAGTTGAAGGGTTCCAAAAATTATTACTTTCAGAATATTTTACTGAAAGTTACGCCCAGTTCCAAGCAAGCCACAACTTTGTCTTTATGCTTAAAATTATTTTTAAAATCAGCCAGAGTGAAAGCATAAGGTAAAATTAACAATAATTAATCAAACATGGCAATACAAAGATATTGCTTTAGCTTAATGGATTCCAGGGCCCTGTCTTTGCCGTGATGTTTATCAATTTAGAATCTTGAAACAACTAACATACAAATATGAATATTCGAGAGAATCTGCATACCATTGGCTGGCCTATGTTTTGGGGATTTTCTTATGAGAATGCAGGGCCTTTTGCAAAATATGGCCCATCACTTTCATATAAAAGTGGGTTAGTAACTTCATAGAGAAAAGTGGGTTAACGACTGCACTTTGTTTTTGTGGTCTAGCATTGATTATAAAATTAAAATCTTAGCAAAAGCAAATATGTCATTCATGTTGCTGACAACAATCCACAAAGGAAATTATTATTATTACTATTAGTATTACTGTTATAATTATTATTAATTCTGAGAAATATGGTTTTTGTAGTATAGACTAAGATCATAGATATTTTGTAATTTTTTTTTCTGTATGCTCAATAAACAACTAAATCATGTGTTGGGCAAAGCATGACCCTGAAATGAATATAAAGAATGTTTCCCAATAATTAAATATAGTACAGTTGAGGCTAAAAATAGATAAAGGGTACAGTGGTTGCAATGAACGTGACTTGATTTGTATGCCATGTGTTAATGATAGGACATTGAAAAGAAGAACATCCTAGCAGTTCAAACTCTTCGGAATCTGATAATGGGATCAACACTTATGGCAACTACATCCATTCTACTATCTGCGGGCTTGGCAGCAGTAATAAGCAGCACTTACAGTGTGAAGAAGCCACTGAGTGATGCTGTGTATGGAGCTCACAGCGAATTTATGGTAGCACTTAAATATGTGACACTCCTAACCATATTCTTATTCTCATTTTTCTGTCACACTCTGTCAATAAGGTTTTTCAACCAGGTGAGCATCCTCATTTGCACACCACAAGATGTCATGTCTATGGTGACACCCGAATATTTGATTGAACTTTTGGAGAAGGGAACTATTTTGAACACTGTTGGCAACAGGCTTTTCTACTCAGCAATCCCTCTTTTGCTTTGGATCTTTGGGCCCGTGTTGGTTTTCCTGTGTTCTGTGGCAATGTTACCGGTTCTTTACAATCTAGACTTTGTTTGTGGGAATAATGGCAATGCAAAGATCATGGTCAAGAATGACAACTATGTTTGATGTTTTGAGCTAAGATCAAAAGATTATTAGACAAATAGGAATATGTGTATACGTCATTAGGTGCATCATTTACAACTTTTATGTTGTAAAGGTGTTTGTATTTCACTCCCACAGCCACATGCTGAAGCGCTTCCTAAAATAATTCAACTGGCTTTTCCAATGTGGCTTTCATTGTGATTAACATTATTTACCTTTTATCTGTTTCCTAATGGAAAGCTTTTATCTTATGCCACTAAAAGTACTTTTAGCTTTCGTAGATAGAACAGGGTAGGCGTAGGCATTTACAAAATATAATTAAGACTAATGCTAGAACCAAGCTACCCATTCTGTGCCTCCTGTTTTCTTTTATCCAGATTGATTGACTGATTAATAAGGCTTATTTTATATGATTCACATGTTTAGATCACCAAATCTTTGTTTAAAGATAATCAATATTCTGACCAAAACCTTATTAATTTGTTTGTATCTCTATTTTACTCTTTGGTTTGGAAATGCGTTAGAGATTGGAAATAGATCTTTCACATATTTTTATTAAAAAAACTAATATAAAAAATTGAAATAAACATAAAGTTGTGAGCTAAATATGCTTTCCATTTAATTTCTGATTTGTTGCAGCTCATCGTTAATTTTATTTCTTTAAAATAAGTTATTACATTAAGTGATGTGTGACGTAATCAAGTAATGTCATGTATTAAATATTATTCATTTGTCATGTTATCATTTTATTGGACGAAACCAAAGCTAAAATTTAAAAATATGTATTTTAATAAAATTCGGCATTAAACAAAAATTAAATTTAGAGAAAAAACCAAACATATATATAAACTTAGTTATTTAATAGATAGAATGTCATCTAAATTAATAAAATAATATTTAAAGTAGTTTCAATGCTTTCTCTTTACTGATTTTTGTCTAAGCAACGGTGACTTGAAAAAATGTGTCCAACAGTAATATTGATAAGATATAAAGATGTAAAGTAACTTCAGAGATTTTTTTTCTGAATTTAAAGGGGAAGAATAGTTAAATTGTAAAAAATAAAAAGTGTATCATAATAAAATTATAAAATAAAAAATAAATGACTATGATTAATTTCATGGTTAGTTAGAGATGGTCTGAATATCTTCATATTTATTTCTTTTCAAGGTAAATTGTTTTTCGGAATCAAAGAAAATTTTAATCCTGTTGGATGATCCTATGTGACGTCATCTTTTCCCATCCTTGATGCTTTACCAATATGCAATTGTACATCGTTGTGGATGTACTGAATTAAGTTTTAAGTGTAAATTTATCATTTTTTTAAAGTTAAAGGTGTAATATACAATTTATTTTAAAGTTTAACTTAATTTTTTCAATTAATATAATTTACATGAATTTAATTAAGTGGAATCTTAATTATGTTATAATAGCAAATAATAATAATAATCTTTTCTTAGGATGAGTTTTATTTAAAACAAAACAAAGACATAAAAATTTAAAATTTATCAATGAATATTGAAAGGTAGTTAACATTTTTCCTCTACGATAATAAAATGGGTTCAAGTTTAAGATATTGATTACTTAATTTTTCATACTACTATAATACAAGAAATATACTCTTGGATTAATTAAATGTTATTCAGGCTAATTTACATCTAATTTGAACTAAAAAATACAAGAATATTTGTTGTGAATTCACTTGATATAATTTAGTTGTTAAGCTTTGATTTGCTTTTGAACTTTAATTTAATACACATGAAGAGAGTGTATCAAACATTTAACCTTACTACAGAAGCTTTGATGTTAATACCATTGCAAATGACTTTGTTAATATGAGGTTAGGAGGCAACTCAACTTTTAGAATTTTAAAATATCTTTCTTCTTCATGCTTAAATGATGAAATTCGTATGAGAAATAATTTAGTTATTTTTTTATTGTATAATTAATTTTCTTTTTTCTTTCACCCAAAAATTCAATGTAATTTGAATGTTTATTTAAATTTTTATAATATAATTTATTAAATAAGATTATAAATATATTAACAAGTATATCACCTCAAAATATTATAATAGAAATTTAATATAATAATAATATTTTTATGATTATAATATCTGCATATATTTAAACAGATCAATCTGTTAAATTTATAAAGCTTACGAATCATCTGATATTAATTTCATGATTAAATAATTTTTTTAAAATTTTTGACTTAACTTATCTAACAAATAAATCTGATTCAACTTGCAAGATTATAATCCCTCAACAAGTAACAAAATTTAATTCTATCTCTAAAGAATCTGTTGTATTATAGAAGATTTTCACATGCGACATGATAGGAATAAAAACAAAGGTAGTTTGAATTTTATGATTTTTGAGAGTGCATGATAATAGATGAGGCATTCAATATGAATTGAACTATATGTGGCTGTGAACCTAGTGTTTAGGAGATCGTGGTTTGGAAAAGGGATCAAAGTAGGGATGAGTGGAGGAGGAGAATGTCAATGGTATTGGGCCAGCACTTTGGTGATTCAATTCACCATCACTGATGGGCCTCATATGAATTGAACTAAATATTTAAAGCTTAAGTTAGGCTTGAAAAGAAAATGCATAAATTTAGCTCATTTATTTAAAGAACTAAATTTAAAGCTTAAGCTTAATTTGATTAATAATTTTGAAGTTTGAATTTAGCTCATTAGCTTATTTATAATTTTTTTATATAAATTTTGAATAATTTTTTTATTAATTTTGTATTTCATTAATATTATTTTTTTTTGCTAAAAAGTATAAGTAAAATGGTAATAAAATATAATTTATTTACATAAAAATAATTTAAGGTTAACTTTTTTAAAAAATATTATAAAAATAATTATGGTCAGTTATTTAAAATAAAAATCTTAAAAATTAAAATTAGATAAATAGTATACACATAATGATTATTAATAAAAAAATATTAATTTTAAGTAAATATAATAAATAAAATTGTAATTATTTAAATATATGTGTATATGTGAACTATTTATGAGCTATTAATGTCGAGCTTATAAAGTTTGAGTTTGACTCATTTAAATATTTGAGTCTAATTTTAAATTTGAGCTTGTTTATTTAATTAATTAAATGAATATAACTAAACATTTAATTAGTTATTTTTAGATAATTGATGAATAATTTCATATAAAAATTAAATCTTTATTTTAGTTCTGAAATAGTAAATATGAGAAATTTTAGTCTCTAAAATTTTAAAAATATTATGTTAATTTTTAATTTTATCTCTATTACCATTTTAATTTACAGTAATAAAATGTTAACTTGTCATGTTAAAGGATAAGCGTGAAAGCTGATCAATTGACTAAAAATAATTCATTTTTTCTTTCCTTTCCACCACTATATTTGTTTGCATTTTAAGTTAGATTTTGTTCTACTAATGAGGTTTTGCGTCTATGATGCTTTTGCTTGTTGTGTTGATGCATTTTGAATATCTATTAGTAGCAATATAAGCTTTCTTATTTGATTTATATTTTTATTTGTAAAAATTTAAAAACATAAAAGCCATAATCAAAACATATCAAATTGATTGTTAGCACATCGCAAGTTATTTTTCTTGTAGGGAATAAGATATGTCAAGAAATCTAGACCATCTCTCCTACCTGGATTTTGCTAGGAATGCACTAATACAAAATAAAGGAAAGGCAAAAAAATTGATGTAATGAACCTAAAAATACAGTGGATGATCTGGCTGAGTTGAATATGATTGTATAACACAACCACAAAGAAATTAGTAATCAAAACATTTATTTAAAAAATAAAAAAAATAATCTAAATTATATATTTAGTAAATTCCTTAAACATAATGCTCATCTGCAAGCAGTTATAAAGATCATATTAGGTATCAAATAGTCAAGCATCATTCATCCTAAAAATTAAGTTAAGCTTAAACATATAAATTGTAAATCTCTAACACTCCTTATCGCATAATAGTTATTTAGCTTGAACCATAAACAATACATAAAACAATTTTATTGTGGAAACTTTTTTGTTTATTTAAATAAACATGGGGTGGATTTCTACTTAGTCTTGACAGCACAAAATCTACATTCAAAGGTGTAAGAAGCATGATTGTTATGGTTGCAATGTAATCACCATCTCCATTCCAATGGACAAATCATTATTATTATGCTCACGAGGCACTCATGAACATCACAACCTTGCATGTATTAGACTTCCATATTAGGAGTAGTTAATGACTTTAATGGACATCAAGACCTTGGACACTTGATTGAACATTGAAGACAATAGCTTGCAATATACTAATGTAGTGAATTTCTACTAGTCTTGACAACACAAAATCTACATTCAAGGATGCAAGAAACATGATTGTTATAGTTGTAATGTTATCACCACCTCCGTTTCAGCAATATACTAATGTAGTATCCCTAAATATACCAATAGATATTTGTTTAGAATGTTAGGTTTCTTTTATTCAAATAAAAGAGAAAAGTTGTTGAATAATAATATTTTAGCACGCTAACTTATTTAAATAAGTAAAATGATATTATTTTTAGTTAATTTAACTTTAACATTTGTCACTTAACATAATATATTAGTATTATATTATTATGTGCAGACAGAATCTAGGTTTAAGGATTAAAATATTCAATAAAAATTTAAATGAATAAAATGTTCTATACTTATATATATATAAAAAAAGGAGAATTTAGTCTAAATGACAAATTTTTGTAGCTAAAGTCAAAGCTACTCGTTTGAGTCAAGGAAATCGCAAATTATTAGTTGAGATGAGATCAAGCAAGATATTCACATATGAGTTGTTATACTAGGTCAGGTTGTGGTCTGAGCTTAGTTCGAGAAGTAAATAGCCCCCTGAGATGAGTTATGCGAGTGATGGAAGTTGATGGTGTGATTGAGTCAAGCCAAGTTGGGCTATGGCTGAGCTTGGTCCAGACACTACAAAACCCTTACGAGGAGTAATGAAGGTTGATGAAATAGTTGAGTCGTGTTGAAGTTGGGTT